TGTGTGAGAATGTTCAGTCTGCTCATTGGGCAGATGTGTGTGGGGCGGGAGCAACAAAAGTAAGTACAGAAGAAGGTGCTGCGTTCTGGATTATTTGTGAACAGAGAATTTACATTCATTTCACAGCTAGTTCCTGGCCTGTACTCACTTGTGCAGATCTACAGTACATTCCTGCATTGAGAATATAAAGCATACGTGGCTACATAATGTTTTGGGGTTGTTTCTTTTTTTTTTTTTTAGCTCAAACTGATAACATACATCTGGTAGTTGGTTTGAATCACGCTCACGCCATAAACAAAGCATTTTGGCTGCACCGAGGGGAGAAAAGAAACCACAGTTTAATTTAAATAGACTAAAGACAACTTTGAAAACCCCATCATTTAGTAGTTTGTAGAATCAACTTTGACCTGCTCTTGCTTTGCTTATTTGTTCGTTAATGCATGGCTCAGTTAAGGTCCAGCTACAGCATCTTTATCAGGCTGACGACTGACTGGGTCATTTTTGTTTTAGCCATTCTGTGGTACACCAGACAACTCCACCTTGCTCTCGTTTGTCCAAAGCACATTGTTCCAGACATCTTGCAGTTTGTTCAGACGCAACCATGCAGCGATGGTGCCATGTTCTTTTTAGCAGGAAGAGGCTTCCTCTCCTTCACAAGCAGTTTAAAAATGAGAATTGTTTTAGAATACAAAAAATTAAGTCAGATTAAATAACACAGAAGAGGTCATTAAGTACAAAGCTAAATAGCATACAATAAAAAGTAAAAAGTTGAATGTAATGGAATAAGGATGCTTCATAAAGTAAAATATTATAGTAAATTAAAAAATATATATATACTAAAGGTAATTAAAATCTCTGATATACTCTTTTCAGTTAAATGTAGTGTAACTGAGTAATTAATTCAGTTTTTGTTTACATTTTAAAGAACATCCCAGCATTTTTAGAAATGGTGTGTATAACTCGCTGCAAGCCTTAGTGTTTCAGTTTGATGTGCTGCACTTATTGGAATGAACTCTTTCTATCGCTGTTAGTCATGAGATAGCCTTTTGTCAGAATTACTCAGCATACCATCAGTTCCAACAGAGATCCTACTGTACTCAGTATAGTGCTCTTTTTTTGAGACAAGCCTCTAATTATCCTCATTATTGACAAAGTCAACACTGCAGCAATTATTGAAAGAACAGAACGTAACATGCACATAAAGTCAGTTTTAGTTAGTTTGTTAATGCTTGATCATTAGGGCCACAAAATAACACAAGGTACTGTCTGCATTAGGCAAAGTAGTTGCATTCACAAAAGCTAAACAGCATCTAATGTGCTTTATGTTTTTCAATTTTTCCACACAGGATTTTTTAGTTATGATTTTTACATTAATTACTGTATGAATAGTTTAGCCTGTTCAGTTTAGTTTGTGAAAGAGAAATTGTCTGAACTATATGTATATGTATGAATACCCTAGCGTGTTTTTGTGTATTTATGAATTATGCTATGGTTAGAAATAGCAGTTTTCTTTCCCTACAGAGTTATGAAAAGAATGCCGGTATCTCCTGACTTAGTCCTATCAGTACAGAGCAGTTCTCTGTAGAGGGAGCCGGCTTAGATATTTTTTCTTGAAGCTTTGCTGCCAGTATTAAAGTGTCGAAACACACATACATGTGTATGCAGTGACATGTATAAAAAGCTCAAAGGACTTGAATACAGACAGGCAGACGGTCAGACAAATATAAAATATATCAGTGAAGGAAAAACCTGAAAGGAATTGCACACATTTATTCCTTTTCCTCCTTGTTGCTTTCAAAACAGCTGAAGGTGGCCATTATCAGTCACAGCAACTATAATATGTGGCCATTATGGTCTGCCGCATTTAGTTGGTGCCTCAGTATTGTTTACATTCGCCACACAATAGCTTTGTATTTTTATATTGACTGTATGTATTGGAAAAGCAGCTGAGAAGGAACAATGAGGGAAATGTTTCGATAACATAACATTCAATAACTCTACCACATGGGTGTTTGAACTGTAAATTTACTTCAGTTATATAGGATTACGTGTAGAAATGCATTGAATAGCTTTAGGAAATAAACAATCGCCGGAAGCACATCAGGGTAGTTTGTAAGATGAAGTCAAATGCAGGAAGACCAATATCAGCTAATTGGGAATAAGGGGTATTCTGCATCTGTACCATCAAAGTAAATGAATTTGTAGTTATTGTTGTTGGGGCAGATTTAATTAACTCTACATTGGAGTCACGTGGATAAGTGGCTTTTATGTGTCTGCCTCTTTGAAAGTCCACATTTCAAGACTGAATGTCTCAAAACTAATTAGACTGTTTGGTTACTGACTTCACCAAATACTGCTGCAATACTCCGGTGCCTTAAGCCAAGACCTAGCAGGTGTATCCTTGACAGTTCATGGATTCACTGAACCATGAAGACTACATGACTCTATACAGTCTACGCAGCTGTGATGCCTACTCAGCTACATGTAAATGGACTGATTCTTATATAGTGCTTTGAGTACTCCAGGAGAGTAGAAAAGCGCTTAAGACAACATGTCCCATTCACCAATTCACACAAGCACTTCTATAATTATTCTATGTGTGATAATCCATTGTTGACCAATGCATTGTTGCCACTCTACTACAACTACATTTTTGTCACCAGTTAGCGGCAAATTCACCTCATAAACTAGACAATCAAGAATCTATTGTAGAGTTTGATTTAGGGCTAATGATTTCTGTAATTTAAACCATTTCTACACTGTTTGTCTATTAGGACATTATAGCTAATATTGCAAATTCCAAATGGATTACCATATTGATGCTGCTGGAGTGTATTTTGTCTTAATGTTGGGTCATTCGAATAAGGGAAGCTGTTTAAGTGGAAAAAAAAAAAAACCTGTTAGCAAGTTTCAGTTTCACAAGTTGGCCAAAATAAAACAAATGTACTTCTAATTTTGCTTTCTGTGAGTGTAGACCATCTCATTTAGGTAAAATGTGAAAGCTGAGATAATCTGCCTTTAGGCCATTAACTACAAATCTTAATTAAATCAGTTAGATAACAACATCTAAACTCTGAACTTTCCCTGTAAACTTTAAGCACTATGTTTTTCCTTATGGCTGTTCTTGTGGCTTTGTATTAGTGTCGACTTGTCGTTGTTGTGCCGTTTTCAAAAATGTCGGTCATTCCTTTCTTTGGCAGCCACTGACCACTTCTATGTTGGCAGAAAGTGTTAAAGCATTAGAGGCTAAGTTTCCCCTTCAGGAATTCTACCTCACACTAAACACTAAATAAAATCTAGACAAAGAACGTTTACTTGTAGTAGACATAAGTAAATAGATGTTACATTGACTGCTTGCTACACATGAGCTATTCGCTTAATTTTTTAGCCATCTTGTTGCCCTCTCAAAGAATGCCCTCCCAAGAGGAAATAATTACATCTCTGGTGAATTACAGAAACTCTTGCATCTGGGAACTGATTCCTTGGTTGAGGAGAATGATTTGGAAAAAGGTCTTTTTTTTTTCACATGCTGTCATTGTAGAGACTGTTGGATTGGTTTCAGTCAAGCAGCTGTATATATAAAGCTTAAAAGAGGCAATAGGTGTGGTTTGCTACTACAAGATTGGAGCTATATTCTGTTCTGATAATTTCTTCCTCAGGACACAATCCCGGTACTTCTGTGGCGTCTTGTTTGCTTTTCATAAGTTATTCCAGACAATTGAGATCAGAGCAAATGTGTCTGAGTGGGTCACCCAGATATGAGGGTTCAGTAGTGTAAAACGGTTTACCATTGTCATAATTCATCAGACTGTTGCTCATTATTTAACATGGAAATATGAGCTTGATATGAAGTTTTGACTAAAAGTTTTCACTATGCGCTCATAATATATTCAGATTTACAAATCTGTTGCTTCGCAACCCTACCTGCACTAATCACATTCTTCAATAATCAAGTAACATGTTGCTGAATTGCACTGTGCAGAAGGTTACGCAAAAACAAGGTCAGTTTAGGCTAATGTTAGCAGCAGAGACAGTACAAAAGAAGCACAAAGTCACCTTGGCTTCACCCACTGGTTTATGAAGTTTTGTCTTTGAAGCCTTGATATGACTGTTTTAAACTGAATGTGATGAGCAAGGGGTGTAACTCCCAGTGCAACTGCAGGCTCAAGTCATTAGCCAGTAAGCATACTGATGATCGTCCTTCCTGTTAGAATGACCAAATATCACAAAAATAGGCTTCATGTTTTATTCAGTGTGGCATGAAATGACTGAGTGAACCTATAACCTCATCAGGAAAGTGTCTGATGAGGTTATGACTGAGGTCCCGTTTGCAGTAGACTTTGATAGAAGTAGGAATCTTTTTTGCATCCACAGGTATCGCCCCTTGTGGCCAGTGAAAAGAACGCAGGTTTAAGGCAGTTTGATGTTGGCTTCACTTCTCAAACTGTGTCCATCTTTTATTCTGTCTGTGGATAGCAGTGGCACAACAACACCCTTCCTTCCTAGCAGGTTAGGATCTACACATTTGTGCATTGTTCTGGTTGAGAGCCAATTTACGTTTATACGGTCTATACACAAACAGATTGAAGTACTGCAGAGCTGCCCTGCGCCACACAGCTTTTTTTCTTCTCATTATGTAGAGAGAGAGGAAACCAACAGTGAACTGGCAATTAAAATGTGTATATTATGAATTATTAGTTAAACTGGAGAGTATGTCTGGTTCTAGTTAGTTAGGGTTATGTTTTAATTGTTTAGTTGACCAGTGCTTTTGCTTATTGCTCTTGATTTCAAATAAACAAAATCATGTCATTGGAAGATGAGACTATTTAAAAATCATTGACACCATCGGCGTCCTCTTCATCATCAGCCTTCCTTCATCAACTATTGTCCTTTCCAAAACTTCAAAGCAAGGACGCCTGCTTACTAAAATGTTTCAGTAATGAAATGGAGTAAATCCCATCAGTTTAACCTTGAATGATCAAATGAGTGGTGTTACTCACCAGAGTTGCCCTGCGTGGTGTGTTCGCAGTGCATATAGGACACCAGAGCAATGTGGTCTCACACAGACACGGATCAGTTCATCAGCCTTTGGATTTCCCTTCAGGTTGATAACCAGTCCATGCTAAAACACAATAAAATTAATTAAAAAAAAGCTTTATCAGCTTTTCTTTGTAGCTGTGCTTTAAACAGTTTGAATACATTTTAATGCACGAGACATAGCAGCACTAATCTGCTCTTTTCACATATTTTTATAATTACGTACTTTAAATCGGTAGCTCGCTTCAAATCGCGTTTGTTATTGCATTGCAGTATAGATTATCAATAAATGAGCAGATTTTCTTGATAAAACCTGTGCTTCTGCACTGGATCAATTCCTTTTGAAGCAAACTAAGCCTCTCCCACCACAGATTTTCAATCAGAATAGACAAGCCCATCAGTCAAGTTACTCACAGTGTGTGCAAGAAATAACAATGAGAAGGTGTGTCTGACCAAAGAGGGATCCCAAAAGTCTCCAAGGCTTTTTCTTCCAGGTCATGTGACCTGTGGCTATCAGCCTTTCAGCAGAATGAGGTGACTGGACGTCTGGCTGATGGACCTAAACAGATCATATGAGAGCGTGGCCATGTTTAAATTATTGCATGTTGGCTGAATTATGAGGCTTTTACTAGTTTTAAGATTTTATAAACTTGTCGGAACATGCAAATTAGATATAGACACATAAATATAGATCCTTTATTTAACAGTTTTCCTGCAGCTACTGTTCACACTGATTTTGTAGGGTAATTTTTGTGGTGCTTAATTTTGATCATATAGTTGTTAGTAGTCTCTTTCTTTAAGAATAGAAGTCTGCTAATAATTGGCCTGTAAGGGGCAATTGATGAATATAGCCACAAGGTGGTGCCTTGTTCCTCTGCTGCACACTCACCCATCTGCAAATATCAGATGCAAATATCAGCAAGCAATGGTTGTCTGATGGTCTTACTTACTAAGTTTATCATCTGTAATCTGCAAAAAAGATATTGTTTATTAGGTCTACAATAATCCAACGGGATAAGTTTCCCCTTCCTTCTTCCTGCTTTTTAAAAATCATTAGTTGTATTGTACATCTGATGATTTTATGTCAGTGCCTATCAATTTGTAATCAGCAGTGGGGATTTTCATTTGAAAATGTATATTTGCCCAGCTGTGCTACTATCATATTTTTTTATTGTGCTGTCACTGTCACAAATATAACTTCTGCTAACTCTGTGAGATCGATCCTCTTTCTAACACCAGTCAACACATCTCGGAGAGAATAGAAGCTCTCCAGCCTGGAAATAAAAGTTGTCAGACACTTTCAAATGCATACCTACACTTTTCTCGTACTGAGGCGTAATCATCTTTGACAATGTATTACTTATGGCTGCATGGCTGGATGTGTGAAAGACATTCTCATAGTAACCATTTGAACTGAAAAACCTTTAAATTAAAATGACTGACATGCTTCCCATGGCCTCTGTAAATCTGTGGCTAAGGCTAATGTGACCTCCATAACCAAGGGTCCTTGCTCAGGAAGGTCCTTTCAGCCATGTAAGCATGATTGGTGGCCACATAATTAAAGACATTTCTATGTGTTACTTTACAGTTAGTTCAATAAGCAAACATTTATTTTATGCTCGAGTAAATTAAGTTTCAAAATTGAGCTTGTGGAGGAAGGCCGAAAACTCTTTGTGGATGTTTTTTTCCCTCCAAAGCAAAGGTTACTCCTTTGGTTTTCCAAAAATGCAAGTCAGGTGCAAAGAGGAGAAAAGTGATTCATTAGGGAGGGGATTGTGATTGAGGCCGTGGAAAAGATGTGAATTTGCTCTGTGTGTTTAGATAAATCAAATTTGGTACAAGCACTTACTTTGCTGCGCCTGGTCAGCAGAAGCTTATTTAGATCAAATTAAGCGTGGCAGCTGGGTTAAGTGGATCTGTGGAAGAAAGAAAAATACTGCTGTAAGGGTGATGTGTAATATCTAAAAGCACATCGTTCACTCCATGATGATTTCTATGTTATCAAACTGCATGAACTGCAAGCTTTAAAGGGTTTCAACTTTAAAAATGAAAATGTGCTTAATGTTTCTTACATTGTGCGGTTGAGATGTTCACAGACAGCACTCCGAGAGAGGAGAGGACCCGAGTGGAATCCCTGGGGGGGGAAAAAGGATTCATTTATTAATTGCAGTATCAGTGTGTCTTGGGTTTTGTACGATAACAGCTCCCTGTGTCACCATCTGCCCACATCCCACTTAGCAGAGTGGGCACATGGGCTCATTCAGGCGCAGCCACACCCAGCTGAACGACACACACACACACACACACACACACACACACACACACACACACACACACACACACACACACACACACACA